ATATGCATATCCTGCAGTCACTTTCTAAGAAAGGAAGCTCCATTTTCTGAGTTGAAACGGTGTCTGCGAATGTCTATTCTGTTTTCGTACTTGATTCACAGTTTGACTGCAAGTAAAATTCTAGGTTGAAAAATTATTTTCTTTATAGTTTCAAAGGTGTGGCTCCCGTGTTTCCTGGCTTGTTGTAGTATTGCTGTTGAGAAGACTGGCAACCATTCGGATTCTCATTCTGTTGGTTTGTTTCCCTGGAGCTTTTAGAATCACCTTTTCATTCCCAATGTTCCAAATTCTCATATCTTCGAACGCGTTTTTATTTTGTTTGTTGATCACTCAACAATAAGTCAGTGGGCTTTTGATAGTGAAGTATCCTGACACCAGGGTCAGATGGCCCAGATTCAAAACTCGACTCTTTCACTTATCAGCTATGGCACTAGTTAAGTCACTAACCCTCTTTATTGTAGTATCTTTGTCTCTTATATTTGTTGCCCCTCCTTTCCTGCCTTACTCCCTCTTTCCCCTCATTCCTACTATCCTGGGATTGCATTCCACAATGAAAGGTTAGCAAGAAAATCTTGCCTTTGGTTCTGGTTAGTAGGAAACCCAGACTAAGGCATACTGAGTCCAAGAGCTTGACTCTGAAGCTGGGCTCTGGGTTTGAATCCTGGTCCTCGCCCTGCTGGCCACAAGGCATTGGGCAAGTTACTTAACCTCTCTGTGCCTCATCTGTAAAGTGGGTATAATATTAGGAGCTTCCTCCCAGCATTATTGGGAAGATCAAATTAGTTATAAAACACATACTAGGCCGGGCATGGTGGCTCACGCCTGTATTCCTAGCACTTTGGGAGGCTGAGTCGGGTGGATTGCTCAAGGTCAGGAGTTCGAAACCAGCCTGAGCGAGAACCCGTCTCTACCAAAAATAGAAATAAATTAATTGACCAACTAAAAATATATATATACAAAAAAAAAACCCAAAAATTAGCCGGGCATGGTGGCGCATGCCTGTAGTCCCAGCTACTCGGGAGGCTGAGGCAGTAGGATCACTGAGTCCCGGAGATTGAGGTTGCTGTGAGCCAGGCTGACGCCACATCACTCACTCTAGCCTGGGCAACAAAGTGAGACTCTGTCTCAAAAAAAAAAAAAAAAAAAAATACTAAATACCCAAAGTTAGTTATTATTATTCAGTTCTATAAATTTTTCAATGTCATTTTCCCTCTGTTTTCTCCATTCTGTTTTCTGAAATGTCTATTATGTGCATATTGGTCTTCCAGAATTGATTCTCTCTGTCTTTTGTATTTGCTGTCATATTTTCCATAAATTTGTCTTTCCGTTCTATTTTATGGGAGACACTCTCTCCTTTGTATTCTAAGTCTTCTATTGAATTTTTATTTTGGCATCATGCTTGAAATCTCCCAGATTATTTTGTTCTCCAGTTGTTTCATTTTAATCATGTTCTTTATTGGAGAGGAAGAATATGTAATATCATCTCATATATCTGAGGCTATTAATTTGAAGTTTTCAAGTTTTTTTCCTTCCTGTGTCTGACATTATCACCTACTCATCTAGCTCTTCCTTTTGGTCTCTTTGGTGGGCAGGGCTTTTGGGGGGAGGATGAGAAGTTCCCTGTAACAGCTGATGATCTTTGGTTGCCCGTTTATTTTAAGATTATGGCATAAATAAACTGATGGGAAGCTCTGTGCGTTACGTTTGTCTATTGATGGGGAGGACGGCATGCGGGACCTCCTCTGAGGCCATTCCCTTTCTCAGGGGAGGAAACTTCCTCTCCCTGCCTGGGCCAGGGTGGGGACTTCAGTGTGTCTTCAGGACGGAAGGAGGTGCCTGAGCTCATGGTTCCATTTGCGGACTTTCAGTCATTCCTACTGACTTGCTTCTGTCCTCTGCTATTCTTGGAGTTTCCAAGACCAAAGCCTCTACCTTCCAGTTTCTGCAGAGAACAACTCTCCAGGCCTCTTGCCAAGGGTGCACTTGCTGGCCACTGGTGATGTGGGTGGGGGCTGTAGGTTTCTACTCGTCAACAGTCAACATTGGGATCTTCAAACAGACTCCACTGCCCTCTCCTCTGGGTGCCTGGTGGCCTCTCTACGCTCAAGTCCTTGCAAAGCCGTGTGGCCTCTCCACGCAGATCGGTTTCCTCCCCTCCACCCACCTGTTCTCCACCTTCTAAAAGTCCTCTCCTGTTCTTTGCATCCTGCTGGGTTCATAACTCCACCTCACTACCCCCATCCCACCCCACCACTCACCCTGCTTTGATTTCATTTGACTGAGCCTTTAATCAGAAGGATTTTGCCTACAACGCCCATTAAATTCCAAAGGCCAGACTTCCACCACTTACGAAGGAACGTTATATGGCCCCAACAAGGCCAATAAAATAATTTTCAGCGCCTGGTCATTTACTGCAACAGAAACAAGGTGAGCTGAAACATTTTGAAGCTTTTTGGAGGGGTTCTTGGGAGCTTCCTGCTGTTGAGCCAGGCATTTCTTCCCCATGCTCTGGGCTCTCTCACTGTTTGAGTTTCTCCTCGCCTCTTGGATGCTGCTGGTGTTGGCCCAGTGCCTGTTCCTTTGCCTTAATGACAATGGTCCTCTTCCCCTCTCTTTCCTTTTCATTCTGGGAGCAGGGTTACCAGATTTAGCAAATGAAGACAGGATGCCCAGTTAAATTTGAACTCCTGATAAACAGTGCATAATATGTTTAGTACAAGTATGTCCCATGCAACATTTGGGACCTACTTGTGTTGAAATCCTTTTTGTTGTTTACCTGAAATTTAAATTTAACTGGGTATCCTTTATTTTATCTGGAAACTCTATCCACGTGGCTTTTTTTTTTTGTTTTTTTTTTTTTTTAATTCTCTGCAAATCAATTTAGGTGAAAGTGAGGAGAGTCAGTCAACAGCACAAAAGGGCCTTGTCTTCCCTGGATTCCTTTTCTTAAAGGGACCTACGGCTATTTACATAACATATGGCAGCCTAACACCCGTACATTGTAAATTAGAGCCTGCTTATTCATTGTCAAGTTAGGAACTCAACCGTATTTCTCAGTTGTCTCCAGTTCCCCAGCCTCGGATTCAATAAATAAATGTGTTGTTCTGATAGTGTTTGTGCCACTGTGTCGCCTTTGTTCATTGTCTGTTCCTATTTTGGGCCTCGGTGCTCAGAACACCCACCCCCCACACACCATTCAGCACCAAGGGAGCTCGCCTCGTCATCCCAGTGTGACATGGTCCCCATAGTCGGCGTCTCTGTTTTACTCTTTGAAGGGTTTGGAGGTCATTTTAACCAGAGCTCTGTTTCTGAGGACATTATCACAGGTGCTGACGAGTGACAGGTGTGCTGTACAGGGCAGGGCTTGTTAGTGCTGTGTGCTTGACACCGAGAACTCGAGAAAATATACCTGTCCCGAAGAAAAGCTAAATTATGGTTGAATCAAGTGCATGAAAAAATACAGGAAATGAATATAATGGATACAAACTGCTCAGGAAAGCAATTCACACAATAACATTAACATTTTCATCTAGTCCCCACGGAGTTGTCCTTTTTCGGGGTCATTTCCTTGAAGATACTTTTCTTTTCGAGTTATAAGATTATAGGTGTTATTGTATTTCACTGTCAAGCACTCTGCCTGCTACGTTCCTGGGGAGATGCAAGGGGTCGGCTCTGAACAGAGCTGAGCTAGATCTATCCCTCCAAAAGCCTCTGCTCATGGTGACATGCTGCGTCAGCAGAGGCTGATTGTTCCCCCACTCCTCTGTCACCAGGCAGCCCCATCAGAGGCTCAAGGGACAGCCTCAGACTCCAAAGAGGTTGGCAGGATAAACCAAGAGACTTCCTAAAGGCCCTGGCTAGGTACCTCGCACGGTTGGCCACCCACTCCCATTGCCACTTCACCAGCATTTGTGCACGTATATATCTACTGTGCATCCTGCCTCCAAGTAAAATAGAAAGCACAACCTGAACCTGGCAGCAAAGATTCATGCTAACGGAAGGTTATTATACATGAGATTTGTGGGGATCATCAAAAGGAGGAGGATTTGCCTCTTTTTTTTCTTAATGGGAAGAAATGAAGGTCTTGGAGCAGAGAGTCTTAAATGGGAAGCAATATTTTTCTTTGGTTTGCTTGGGACTAAGGTGCTTCCTGGGGTGTGGGACTTTCAGTGCTAACACTGGGACAGTGTTGGGCAATCTGGGACAGTTGGTCACCTTCGGTAGCCTTCCCTCGCCACTATCCTTCAAACTCCCTTCACCACTATTCCACATACTGGAGAGGAGAGACCAGGAGAGAGGTCCTCGCTGGAAACGGAGCTTTGGAAGTTTTTGCCAAACACCATCTAGATATTAATATCTTGGGGGTTTCACAAGATATTTTAGCAGCAATAAGGAAGGAGCCAATAATTTTCCTTTGAAGGTGTTACTGAGAAAAGGAACCTTAAGCAATGGAAGGGAAGAATGTACCTATACTTTTCATTTGCAAAACCCCTCTACAGAGCTATTTAAAATGTTTACACGCAGCATGCTTGTATTTTACTATTTCAGTAAATGTTTCTAATACATAGGAAATAGAAAAATTTGTGATTACAAATCTGTGGGGTTTGAACCCAGAGCCACAATCTGTAATTTCAACAAATCCTCCACCTATCTTTTGGACTTCACAGTCCGTGGCACTCTGCCTCCACCTGGTGGCAGTGTACCTAAATTAAGTCCTGTTCCTCCCGCCCCCGTCCGTTTTTTTGGAATGTGGTGAGAGCCTCTCTTTTGGGAACTGAATCATAGAACCAAATTATAAAGATACCAATTTGTCTCATATGATACTATTGTCCTGATTTGGAATGCAGGGTCAATTTGAAGCAAAAATCATGCCTTTATATTTGCTTTACACTTCATCTTGCGAAGTACTATGAGCCTATGAAACCTTATAAAATAATTGAATAGTGCAGTCTCCAAGAGATTATAAGAATAATTGTAAGCAGACACCATGAAGGACATGATTTGTGAAAATATCATAAGTGTGTAGATTTTATTAGATTATAATAATCAAATAAAACTTGTAAGAAATTTATTAATCAGGCACGGTTCATCAAGTCCATTATCACACTGAGTTCCACAGTTATTAGGCACAAGGATTAGGAGTTCGCATCAGGGGATTTAATTGGGATTGCTTTTACACAGGTAAATCTCTTCTTTTTTCTTACATTTTCTTTTCTTTTCTTTTCTTCTTATTTTGTTAATTCTCCAGCATCTGAAATAATTGCTAAAGTTCATGGGCTGTGGCAGCAAAGACTCGCCCCCCTGCTTGGTGCATTTTGCTACTTCTTAGGGGAAAATCATTTCACTTCCCTAGGGCTAGCTTTCCTGGACTGTCAAATTAAGTTAATAATTATATGTCACCAGGTTGATACAAGAGGCAAATAAGGTGCTGCCTCGTGTAAGAGTGCTCTGCTCTCCAGATGTTAGCCTGGCGGTGGTTGGGGGGAGGGGAGGCATTGTTATCACATGCAAATTGAAGACAAAGATTCCAGGTGTTTCTTCCTGGCCCCAGGCTGCATCCTGCACTTCAGTCCTAGGGGCTGAGTTTCCCTGAAGTATGGGGAGGAAATCTAATTCCCATCTCAACCCCCTAGTTCACAGCTTTGCCAAGACCTCTCTCAAGCCCTGCCTCCCCACAATGTCCCCAGCCCCTCTCTTCCTCCAGGCTGGATGAAAGCAGCCTGGGGCCCTAGGAGGTGGGGATGGGATCCAGCCCAGGAGTGTTGTCACAGAAGGAACAAGCCACAAGCCAGTGTTAAAGGGAAAGGAAAGAGTAGGGGTGGGGGATGGGAGAAGAAGGGCGACCTCTTCCTACCCACCTAGGTCCTCTGATGTGAGCAAAATAATTACCTTTCAGGCCCAGTCTTAGCAACAATCTGATTCCACGGTGAGAAGAACCCCCTCGTCCTTTTTCTCTACCCTCTGCACACACACACCCATGCCTCTGCCTTGTGCTCATAAATAAAAAAAAAAGCAAACGGGGGGCAGCGTATACACCTACACCTCGTTAGCATCTCTCTGCCTGCCTGGCTGACGCTTCTTCAAGGAGAGGCACAGCTTTTCACTGTCCTGAACTGAGCGGCACTCTGGGGCCCCAGAGGGGCGACAGGGACGCATTCCCAAGGCCCCAGGTGATGAGCCGAGTCCTAAGGAAGCAGCTCAGGCGGTGGAGACTGGAGTGTGAGACCACGTCCCTCTGCGCTGGGCATCCGGTTTCTTTTCTTGCAGAGCGCAGCCAGTGTAGACAGGGTGACGTGGCCTCCCTTTCTCGAAAGCCCACTTCCATGCCACCACTTCATCTGACCGACCTAATTTTATTTTTATCTTCATGTTGATTTCATACTAAAGTGGGGGCTAAAAAAAAAAAAACCTGTCTCAAATCTTTTGGAACAAAGTAGAGGGTTTTCACCATTTCAGCTGTTTTTATATGCATTCAGATTCAATGCTGTTTTGATGCGCTGATTGCCTCCCCAACCCTCTTCTGTATAAAGTGACAACTTGGAATTTTCCTCTTTGCTTCTAATGTCATTCCCGCCTTGGCAAAGCAGTTGCAGACAAGGATGCACGTACCTGGCTGGAAGGCTGCCTCCCAGGTCACGGAGGCTCCATTTGTGTCCTGAGGATTGAGCAGCCTCGGAATTTCTTCCACGAGTAGATACTGCTCCTGCTGCTGAGGCCCGTGCCGCTGTCTGGCCAAGAGCACACGTAGGGCTTTAAACATTCCAGAACAAAATGCCAGTCTGCCCCCTCCCGTCTGGAATGGAAGGCCTACCCCATCACTGCACCTGACTAGGAGGACCTGCAGCGCTGCAGGAACGTGTTAGATTTGTTCCCACATCCGTGGAGGCCCAGCCTTGCCAAAACCTCGCGCTCACATCCTGGTATTGGAGAGGGGAGGCCCGCTACGGCATCTGCTGGGTGAGCATCCAGATTCTCCGGGTCGTACCTGGGAGAGAACTGCAGTTCAGAAGCCAAAGCACCTGGGCTCCGTCTGCAGCATGCCTGGCAGAAACATTTCTGAGATGCAGTTTGCCTTCAGAAAATATTTCACATGAGGTTTATCCTCTCTGTGTTTGTGAAACCATAACTGATGATGCTGTCTACTATCTCATGCAACACCTTTCACATCAAACCCAAATGGAAAACTTTTTTGGATGAGATAATTGCCAGAAAACATTTTGTCTCTGTAGATAAAATTCTGGTGTGAAAAAGAAAATTAAAATTATATATTATGTAATACATCACATTTTCCTCCAAGTCTTGGGTGCCAGATAGCTTAAGGTTAAATTCATTGTCTAAATGCACACATCTGCTTCAGTCAAATGCCTGAGATATATTTTCCTTCAGCTGTTTTTTTTTAAAAAACTGGGTTTTCTATCTACCTATCCACCCATGCATCTTTTCTTTTTTTTTTTTTTTTTTTTTTTTGACTGAGTTTTAACCTGTAAAAGGCCCTAAGTCCTTGGCAGAAGTAAGTATAAATTAAACTTGAAACTAATAAACGAGTTCCCCAGGTTGTGGAGGAAACGGCCATTTCTAAATTGCACTGATTTCTTCGCATTGCTACAGTCACACATTTTTCAAACATTAGGTGCTAAAGCTAGGAGACCCAGAAAAATGGAATGTGACCAATTTCTATTTTCTTTTGCAGGAGAGTTGCATTAGGTGAGTGGAGGGCGCAGCAGCAGTGGGGTGCATGCTGTGGGCAGTTTTAGGGTGTTGGGGTGGGGGCAGCTGCCTCCTGACTGCTCCTATGGCAAGACCTTGGCTGTGCTTCCTACCTGGGTTCCACCCCCATTCTGGGGCTGCCTTTTCTGCTTTCTGGCCAGTTCTCTGAGCCCCCTGGTACCCTGCCTGTAGATTTTCTTTCTGCTTCCATCAGTCATATTGAGTTTCTATTGCTTGCAACCAAGAGCTCTGACTCATCTGTTCAGCGAGTTAATCAGCTCAGTGATTCACTTAACCAACATTCCCTGAGCAAAACACCATGTGAGGTAGGTATTATTTTTTCTGCATGTTATGGATGCAGAAATGGAAGCTCAGAAAATTTAAACTTGGAAAGTTAACATTATTATCTAGTGCGTGGCGTTAAAGTGGTGTTTTCTGTTTCTTTATGATCCCCTGGCAGTCACTAGAGTCAACATTTCATTGCCAATCCTGGAGGATTTTGAAGGTCTCGTCGCTGGGGAAATGGCCTTACTGCAGACCCCAGCAGCTGGAGTTGCACCTCTTTGTTCAGGAAGAACCCAGGCAGGACGGCTTCTTCCTGGACATGTGTAAAAACTGCATAGGCCTGAGTATGAGGAAGATTTGGTGGGAAATTTTTTGAACAGCACCTTTGTAAGACTCTGTGTGTGTGTGTGTGTGTGTGTGTGTGTGTGTGTGTGTGTGTGTGTAAGTGACAAGGTTAGAAGGTTGGCTGTCACAAGTCACATGTAGAGTCCATCGCATGAGCACAAGACTCTAGAACCTGAAATGAGGAATGATTTTACATATTAACCCCACTGAAGCAGAGGCATTCTTCCTCTGGTATTAGTGCTAGGCAAACACCTTTCTCCCCCTTCTAGAAAAAAGAAAGAGAAAGCAGTGTCAAGAGTAGTTTGTAAAATACAAACTTCCACTTCCCAGTCTTGAGGCGGGCAATTGGAGATGCGGTGACTGTTTGATGAAACTGACAAATAACGGAGACAGCAAATTTAAGGCCATTCTGCTAACTCAAATGCCACTATTCTGTGTGACATAGATCATAGAAACGTCTAGCTTTTCACAGCCTTCTAGATCAGTATTTAACAAATAAAGTCTACCCTGCCCCCATGCTCCACATTGTATTTGCAGAGATTCGTAGGGTTGGAAGCTTAGCTAAGGGAAACCAGCACATTCCCTTCCGGAGGAGAAACCATGGCCTTTTCTGGAATCGCAGGTGTTGCTGGTGGGTGAAGGGCAGAGGGTCAGGTGGGGAGGAGGAAGTGTTCTCCAGCCACAGGATGCATTTTTAACAACTCACAAATGAACTGTGGAACATAGTAGAAATTGTCCACCGTCTTAATCTGATACCCCCTCCTTGCCTGTTTGTGCAGTTTTTGACTTATTGTTGTAATGTGTTATTTTCTGATTCTATGTTCCTTTTGCGTCACAACCATTGCCACTTACCATCGTCTCCATCTTTTGGGGAGGTAACTTAGCTTGCTCCAGGGGTGATTATTTTTCAGTTCATACTGTGGAAGAGGCAAGGGTGGAGCTGGACTCAGAGACCATGATGCGTAGGAGTTCAGACCCCGTCAGATCTCTTTCTTGATCACTATGTGCTGGCTTTACTTTTTCCTAAAAACTTTCTCTACTCCACAGGGGATGTGGCTACCAGCAGTGTCCAGGCTCTTGTCCTCAGAGCTTTGCTACCAGAGAGGAAAAGACCTTTTCCCATTTGTTCTAATGTTGAGTCACAGGAGGAGTGACTAAATTGGCTTGAATTGGGTCATGTGTCCATCCCTGGGCCAATCGTCAAGGTTATTTATCCATTTGCACCCCTTGTTATAGTATGGAGAGGGATGGGGGAAAGGAGGCTCTATTGGGCTGTGACACTGTCACCACAGGGCTCAGCCAACCCCAGGGGGGCGGAGGGGGGGTTCTGGAGCTGGGGTGGCCCTTGAGAGACAAGGTGACTTGGGACAAGGTGACTGGACTTTACACGCCCCCATAGCAGCTGGCTTTGGATGCAGGCTGGGGGAGGGGCGGGATCTTTGCAGAGGGTGCTCCTCCCAGCACCAGTGACCACAGGGAGTGCCAGCAGCATAGGTGGCAGCTGGGATTAGTCCTTTAGTGCCCAGGGGGGGACCTGGGCAGCACAATTCAGCATCCACTGCACTGGCTGGGTCATGTCACCCTTCTGAGCCCCAGCTCATGCAATTACACAGCCGGAGGACTTGGCCCCCTTCATCCTTGAGTCTATTTCCAACTTAAAAATCTCCTATTTATAGTGTTAGGTACTTACTGGTTCTTGTTTCCTGAAGTCTTGTTATGTGTAAATATGTTTTGGAAATATCTGGTGATACATGAAAAAAGAATGAGGAGCACCTCTATGAATGGATTTGGAGTAACTTTTAGGATACACTGTTGATTAAAAGAAGCAAGATACAAAGAAGTTGTATAGTAGAATATCCTTTGCCCAGAAAGAAAGGAAAACGTGTGTGTGTGTGTGTGTGTGTGTGTGTGTGTGTGTGTGTTGTGTGTGTGTGTCTTTGCAAAAAGAACAGGGAGAATCATAAAACCTACAAGGGGGAGGTAGGGCTGGAAGAAATGGGGGTAGAAGCATATGATTGTCTTATATATTTGGAAATTAAATTAAATTAAATGGGATGGAAATAAGTAAACTCTATAATTGGAATACAATAAAAAACAAATGATGCTATATTTTGTATTGATAAAATAACTACACAGAGAAAAGAATTGATTCAAGCAAATTTTGATGATTAGGACTCTTGACTATCTTTTAGTAGGATATAGTCTAAGAACAAAAGGCTTCCAAAGGCACCTAAAACTTTATGTAGTACTCTTATTGGTTATTAGTAATGCTAGTGTTATAATTTTGAAACTATTATATGAATATTGTAAGGATAGAGCAAATAAGTAGATACAGTAATATTATTGGGAATCAAGACTTTACTATAAGAGAAAATAAAAGAAGTTTTAAAAAATATTTTATATTAAATTTGAATATATGAAGTCTGGAGTATATATATACCTAGGTCTGCCCACTCGCAAGGCTAATGAATGATAACACCTGGTTGAAATGAGCACACTTACTGCCCAGATCTTGATGTAAACAACGTTCTCCATTAAAAAGGAACAGGACTCCTTAGATAGTGGCTCATTCCAGGTCTGGGGAAGAAAGACATATAAAGCGAATCATAAATACTTTATGGTGCCAGAAAGCAAGGAGAAACTAAAAAAACTAACACATTCCTATAAAAAAAGATACAGGATCCATTTTGAAGGGGCTCCCTTTAGCCAAATTTGGGAGAATTTGAACATTCAAAAAAATTAAGAAAGCAACTGATTGTAACACATTAAATAAAAAAGAAAGTCACGAGACCATAGTACTATGATGTAGAGGGAGAGGAAAAGAAGAGAAGAGATGGGGGGAGAGCAAAACAGAGACAGATGGAGCAGATGGAGAGAGAGAGAGAGAGAGCAAAAAATAGAAAGAGAAGAAAAAGAATAAAAGGAAAGTTCATCTTTGCAGAAGAATGCTAGGTAATAAACACAGAAGGAAGGGTAGAATGAGGCAATCCTGCAACCCCAACATAATGATTGATTCAGGTAAGGATCTTCCATGGATATTAAAACATTGGATATTAAGTTTGGAGAACAGTTTTTACTATGGGGTCAAAGTCCTACCCCACAGATTACTGATGACAAAGGAGAGAAAAACTTACCTTTACTCTGGAGACATCTGGCCATCACCACCTTACTCCAGGGAGTACACTTAGCATCAGTTATACGGGTACACCCTGACATCGCATAGTTATCCCGGTGTGATACAACATGAAGTATAGACACACCTTGGAGATATCATAGGTTCTATTCTAGACCACCACGATAAAGCAAATAACACAATAAAGTGAGTCACACAAATTTTTTGGTTTCCCCCTGCATATATAAGTTATGTTTATACTATATTGTAGTCCAAGTGTTCAATAGCATTATGTCTGGGAAAAAAACAAAACAATGTACATACCTTACTTTAAAAATCTTGCTGAGAAATGCTAATGATCATCTGAGCCTTCAGTGAGTCATAATCTTTTTGCTGATGGAGGGTCTTGCTTTGATGTTGATGGCCCTGACTGATCAGGGTGATATTTGCTGAAGGTTGTGGGTGACAGTGACAATTTCCTAAAATAAGACAACAATGAAGTTTGCTGCTTCAATCAACTCTTCCTCTCATGAAAGATTTCTCTGTAGCATGCAGTGCTATTTGATAGCATTTTGTCCACAGTAGACCTTCTTTCAAAATTAAAGTCAGTCCTCTCCAACCCTGTTGCCTTATCAACTAGGTTTATATAATATTATAAATCATTTTTCACAGCATCTTCAGTAGGAGTAGATTCCATCTCGAGAAACTACCTCCTTTGCTCCTCCATCAGAAGAAACTACTCATCCATTTCAGTTTTAACATGAGATGGCAGCAAAATTCAGTCATATCTTCAGGCTCCACTTCTAATTTCAGTTCTCTTGCTATTTCCACCACATCTGTAGTTACTCCCTCCGCTGAAGGCTTGAAGCCCTCAAAGTCATCCATGAAGGTTGGAATTAAATTCTTCCAAACTCCTGTTAATGTTGATATTTTGACCTCCTCCCCAAAATCACTAATGTTCTTAATGGCAAGTAGAATGGCAAATCTTTTCCAGAAGGTTTTCAATTTACTTTGCCCAGATCCATAGGAGGAATCACTATCTATTGCAGCTATATCACTCTATATTGCATATAACCTTATGAAATGTATTTCTTAAATAGTAAGACTTGAAAGTTACAATTACCCCTTGATCCCTGGGCTGTAGAATGGATGTTGTGTTAGCAGGTATGAAAATAACATTAATCTCCTTGTATGTCTCTCTCCTTGGGTGCCAATGAGCAGTAATATTTTGAAAGGACTCTGTTTTTCCTGGGCAGCAGGTCTCAATAGTGGGCTTAAAATATTCAGTAAACCATGCTGTAAACAGATGTGCTATTACCCAGGCTTTGTTGTTCCATTTATAGAGCACAGGCAGACTAGATCTAGCATGATTCTTAAGGGCCTTGGGATTTTCAGAATGATAAATGAGCATTGGCTTCAACTTAAAGTCACCAGCTGTGTTAGCTCCTAACAAGGGAGTTGGCTTGTCCTTTGAAGATTTGAAGCCGGGCATTGACTTTTCCTCTCTAGCTATGAAAGTTCTAGATAACATCTTCTTTCAAGATAAGATCTTGATCTACACTGAAAATCTGTTGTTCAGTGTAGCCATCTTTATTAATAATCTTAGCTAGATCTTCTGGATAACTTGCTGCAGCTTTTATATCGGCACTTGCTGCTTTACCTTGCACTTTTCTGTTACGTGGAGATGACTTTTCTCCTTAAAGCTCGTGAACCAACCTCTGGTAACTTCCAACTTTTCTTCTACAGCATCCTCACCTCTCTTAGCTTTCATAGAATTGAAGAAAATTATTTTCTCTGGATTAGGCTTTGGCTTAAAGGAATGTTGTGGCCGATTCAATCTTCTATCCGGACCACTCAAGCTTTCTCCATATCAGCAAGGTTGTCTTGCTTTCTTATCATTCATGTGTTCACTAGAGTAGCACTTCCAATTTTCTTCAAAAAGTTTTCCTTTGCGTTCACGACTTGGCTGTTTGGCATGAGAGGCCCAGCTTTTGACCTGTCTCAGCTTTCAACATACCTTCCTCACTAAGTGTGATCATTTCTAGCTTTTGACTTAAAGAGACAGAGGTGGAGACTCTTCCTTTCACTTGAACACTTAGAGGCCATTGTAAGGTTATGAATTAGCCTAATTTCAATATTGTTATGACACAGGGAATAGGAGGCTGAGGAGAAGGAGATGGGGAAAGGCCAGGTGGTGGGGCAATCAGAATACACACAACATTTATTAAGCTTGCCTGTCTTAATGGGAGTTTGTTCACGGTGCCCCAAACAATTACAATAGTGACATCAAAGATCATCAAACAGACATAATAATGAAACAATTTGAAATATTGTGAGAATTGCCAAAATGTAACACAGAGTCACAGAAGCAAGTGAACAATATTGGGAAAATGGCATGGACAGATTTACTCAATGCAAGATAACCACAAACCTTCAATTTGTAAAAAATGCAATATCTGCAAAGTGCAATAAAACAAAGCACAATAAAACAAGGTGTGCCTCTACACAAAATTGTCTATGCAGTGTTCTTGCCAGAGATGTTTAATTTGAATCTGATCAAGTTGTCAGACCTTACTTTCAAAAGACAGAAAACATAGGGATCGAAGAATAAGTTAAATAACACCATGAGGAAACAATCAGTCTCATTCGGAATGTGTGGAACATTCCACAAAATAACTGAACTCTTCAAAATGTCCATGTAAAGACATTTTTTTTAAAAAACTGAAACACTGTTTGATATTTTAAAATACTAAAGGCTAAATGGCTTTAAAAGCCTAAAAACAAAATCAAGAGCAAGAGTTTAGTATAATTGTAGAAATATGAATATGAAGCAAATATTAGATCATATGGAATTATCGTCATATTCTTAGATGTGATTATGATATTTGATAAGAACATCCTTATTCTTAGGAGATGCATGGTGTACAACTCACTTTAAGTGATTTAACAAAAAACAATAATGTATATATATTTTTTCCTCCTGTATTTCTTCTATAGGTAGATAGATAGCAACAGAGACAGACGATAAAGCAAATAAGGTAAAATGTTAACAATTGGTGAATTTAGGCAAAAGGTATATTGTTAGTTCAATTACTTTATCTCTTCTATAGACTTGAAATTTTTCAAAATAAAAAGTTGAAGGAAAATGCTTGGCTAGAGTCCTTGGATTTTTATCTTCTATATCTTTAATTTTATAAATTGTAAAATTGAAACCCAAAGAGGTCATGGAGCTTGCTCAAGGCCACAAAGTCAGCAAACAACAGAGTCCAGCCTCTGGTGTTATTCCCACTACTCTTTGCTGTTTCTCATGAAAATTAACCTCACTTTTTTGGCACATAGAATTCTTTTTAATCTCTTCTCCAGTCACACTGGCTTTTCCATATCAAAAGGACTTGGGGAGACAGGGCACTGCAGGACACCCTGACATTGGTCCCTGTCTCTCTCCTCCAGGCACCGTGGTTTCTCCTGCTCCTTAGGCCTGAGCACCTGGACCACAGGCAGCGCCCCCCCCCCACTCTCATGCTCCCCCTCACTCAGTGCCTCCCCCCAACCTCCAGGGCCCCACTGTCTCCCCCCTTCATTAACATGGTGCCACCTTCACTGACCTGGCCATGTCACTCCATCAGCCACATTCCTTAATGTTCACAGGCTGATTGTAAACAGGCTTCTTGGCGTTACTGAAACATCATAAACAGAACTAAGTCAACCAGTGAACATAATCATATCTTCACTATGCTAATTGGAAACCTCACTTATAAACAGAAGGTTGTACTCTGGGCAGTACCTTCCCCCATCTCCAAAGGGCTAGCGCCTCCTGCAAAAACAAAACGGTAGCTTTAAACACACCGACCTATAAATTAAACCACTGGGCTGAGTTTGTGAAAGAGCATTTTTGCAAGGTGGTGAAACAATGAAAAACAAGCCTGTTTCTTAAGCAGTTGTTCTTCCCCCAAAGGAAGCGAAATAGTGGTGGAGATGCTCCACAGAGCCCAAGCACGAATCGGGGGCTCACACCTTCCTGGGCAGGAAGACCTTTAAGAAGGTTGGATTGAACTAACTATTCTGCTCATTGTTCCCTAATCATCCCCCACCATTTTTTTGTTTTGTTTTGTTTTAATTTAACACTGCATTTTCTCTTTCCTATTCTTATGTGCCTACCGTTCATTTTTATCTTTTGGCTAAAAAAAAAAAACAAAAAAGAAAAAAGATTTTTATTCTTAATATGCATTGG